CTCTCTCTCTCTCTCTCTCTCTCTCTCTCTCTCTCTCTCTCTCTCTAAAATGTCCCAAAACTTCGTGACCTGCCTGTACCAAGCCGATCTAGGCGGTCTACCCACCTTCATCACACTCACCTGGTCCAAATGCCTCCTCTCCCACACCCTCTCCCTCTCTCTCTCCTCCTCCCTCTCCTCTCCCTCCACCACCTCAACCACCATCAATCTCTCTCCCTCCCCCTCCTCTCCCCTCCTCTCTCTATTCTGCCCTGCCCCCCGCCACTCCAAAAGCCTTCCCTGCCCTCACCACCCCAACAACCATCCACCCCTCTCTCTCTTCTTCGACTTCTCCAAAGCCCACTTCTCCCAGAGCCCCGAACCCACCTCAAACTTCTTCCTCACCATTCTCTCTCCAAAATCGAAAACACCCGCTCTCTTCTTCGGTGACCTCCACGATGAAGCTAGAAACCGAACCCACAACGCTTGCCTTCTCCACCCCAAACTCCTCTCAAGGCGAGAGCACGTGTTCGGCACCACCGACTACAAAACACAGGCACGACTGGGGTCCCTGGGGCATTCGCACGAGATCGCAATCGAGTGCGGAAAGAAGGAGATGGTGGTGAGAGTTGACGGAGTGGCGGTGGTGAGAGTGGAGAGATTGGAGTGGAAATTCAGGGGTAATGAGAGGGTGAGAGTTGGTGGTTTCGGGGTTGAGATATTCTGGGACGTGTATAATTGGGTATTTGGAGGGGGTGGGAATGGGGTCTTTGTGTTCAGGACAGAAGGGGGAGAGGAGGGTGAGGTTGTTGGGGTGGGCGGACCTCCGGTGGGAGGTGCCGAGAGACGGATGCTCAGGAAGAAGACTCTGTCTTCCCCGTCTCGGTCTCCAGCATCTGTGCTGCGCTGGGGGGAGAGGAGTGGGGCGACTAGTGGCTCGGGTGGAAGCGGGAGTCCGAATTCCGGCTTCTCTTTGCATTTGTATGCCTGGAAGAAGGAGTGAGCGGATCCAACAAAGAGAGAGAGAGGTTCCTGACTCTGTTCTCAAGTGAGAGAGTTTGCATCATATAAATTAGACAGAGAATATGTACTTTGGTTCTGATTTGGGGGGGGGAAAAGGAATCTGGTCTCTGAAAATCTTTCTATGTAGAGTGAGACGAGGAGTATGGAAACTGGTTTTGATTTGATTAGAGGGGTTGCCTCTCTACTCTGCTTTCTAATTGATGGAGGAGAGAGAAGTAGTAAGTGCGGCTTTTCTTTTTCTTTTCACTGTGTTATTATCCTCATGTATATAAAACAATGAAGCAACAATTCAGATGAATGCTTCTCTCTTTCAAGAGGGATCAACCATATTCATGCCATTTTCTCTCCTTTCTTTTTTAAATCAATAACCAATGCGCCATTAGCAGTTTACTGCATTTATGCCATTCTCTGTTTTCCCCTTTCTCATATAAACTTTGAATTTATGCCATTCTCTCTCTCTCTCTCTCTCTGTCCTGAGGATATAGCAGTTTTATTCTGAGGCTTTTTGGGGAAGGTCAAATATACACGTCTGATTTCCCTTCGATCAATTAATGGCATCTCTCAGAGACGTACAAAAGAAGAGGCATCTCTTGCAGGCGGGCCCGAGTCCAATAGCGTTGTCACTTAGGGTTGATACCAAGCCTAGCAGGGCACCCGGGCCCGGCCCCACCCTGAAAACCCCGGGTCTAGGTAACAAAATGTGTCACCCCAACCTGGAAACGCCGGGTCTAGGCTACAAAATATGTTACGAGGGTCAGACTACGCTACAGAATGTGTCACGAGGGCCAGGCCAGCGTTGGATTAGGCCCGTCATGTTCCCCGTCTGCCTTTTTTGAACGTTAACACCATAATATTTCACTAATGCCTCCAAACTCAAAAAAAAAAAAAAAAAAAGGATTTTGTTTCTAATATATTTTTTATTATTTTTTCAAAGATTGAAAATTGTTTTGGCCATTCATATTTATTTTTATATTTTTCAATTTTTAAAAAAAAATTTCCAAAAATACTCTTATGACACGTATTGATTCTTTAACATCTATTTTTTTTTCATTAATTTTCAACCTAATTTGGATGCGTTTTGTTTAATCATACTTTAAATATACTGTTTATATTTTACTAGATTTTTTTTGTATTTTTTTAACATTTTTCTGACCGCATAGGACTTACTCATAATCATACTTTAAATATACTGTTTATATTTTACTAGATTTTTTTTGTATTTTTGAACATTTTTCTGACCGCATGGGACTTACTCAGTTAAAATTGACCAATTTATTGGTTTGTACCGAGTAACCACTTTGGGCTCCATGACCGGTTAAGCATTGTCGTTAGATTTTTTCTACACGACCCAACCTTAAAAACTTAAAAATCTAAATTTACAACAAATAGTTGAGATTATGCACATGATGCAACCAATAATATTCATCTCCTCATCGCTTCGTTGAAAATTTGGAAGAGATTGATCTCCTTCCCCAACATTAGGTTGGTCATTTCATCTAGCAGAGATTGTAGACTCCATGGTGCTAACTGTTCACTTGCACCATTTAATGTCTCCTTCCACAACAATATTGAATTTTGTGCTTACTTCATAGTAAGAGTTTAAGATTCTTACATGTGCCTCATTTGTTGTACAAATTCCTAGAGACCATGAATAGTAAATTGTATATTTGCATTTTGATCTCGCAACACAAAACTCCCACCAACATTCAATAATTTGTGGTAGAGGAGCTATCAAAGTTGCTCCTTTCTGTCGTTTTGCAACGTCACAACCAAGATTCTTCATTGGAGAAATTGTTGTATGCTTTGGGGATGCCTGCACTTGCATCCCCTATAGACATAAACCATCAATCTCAAAAAAAGATGCAAATGGGAGGTCTTTTAAAAAAAAAAAAAAACAAAATAACAATAATTTAAATATATTTTTAAAAATTATTATTTTTAATTATAAAATTTATTTATTTATTTACATATTGATGCCTGAAAAATTAAATCCAAAATTTGTCTCTAAAAAGGAATTTTAAGAGGGAATCATCTAAGCACATGACGCCTAGGACACATGGAACCCGTGTTCTTCTTTCTTTTATATTTTCATCTTCTTAGGTACCCTAAAGTGGCATTTGTTAACGGCATAAAGTTGGGAAAGTCTCCCACTTTCCTCATTTACTGTTGTTAGAACAGTAAAACCGGGAAAAGTCACGAATGTCTCTTTTTCCGAAGTCACTATTCTCTAAGTAAAGTTGCAGCTGTAGTTTTCCATGTTTGAGTACCACCCATGCTTGAGAACAGTAAAACTGAAAAAAAAAAAGTCGGAGCACCTTTTTTCCCAAGTCACTATTCCTTAAGGTAAAGTTGTAGCACATGGGGCCGCGTGCTGCAACTTTTAGAGAAAGATATGAGCAGGGCCATATGCCCCTCATAGCAGTTTGTTGGCTTCCTCTCATCCTCTCTCTCTCCCCTCCCCCCCCTCTCTCTCTCTCTCCTAATTCCTAAGAGTAATCCCCCCTTGAAGGGAGAAATGTATTTAGGGTAAGTTTTTTTTTGCTTCTTTTATTGCATAAAACTTATTTACTTCTCCTATCCAACCGTTCTTTTTGAATGGACGGTTGAGATGGCCTCAATCATAATGTCATGTCTCTATACTATTTTATTTTTAATGTTTTTAAAATATTTTGACCCAAAGTTTTGGCGTCCACTCCTTTCTTAAACTCGCACTTGTAAAAAATATGTAAAAAATATTCTCAATAAAATAAAATAACCAAAATACCTCTAAAAGTTTTATGAGGTATTTTGGTTATTACATTTTATCTAAAAATTCTTTTTAATAATTTTTTTAGGTGCACCCCATTGAGAAGATGGGGTGTACCAAATTTCATATTCATACGATTTGTAGAAAAAATTCTAAAGTAAAATACTCTGATGCGTCAGATCTAATATTAAACTGTCAGTGGCTCACTTGATTTAAATTGGAGCGTTGGATGGGAGGGGAAGAATATATCTTCAATGCTGTAAGGGAAATATAGAAACATTTCCCATGTATTTTTACTACTTGTTTCGTGCACTACTAGTTACCGCTTATGTTAGTTCCATATTCTTTTTCCTTTTAATTTCTTATTGTATCTATTTGGGCTTTAATGATTCTGGATGAGGGGAAAAGTTTAGATAGAGCCTAGACTCTAAACAATCAAATTAAATCCTACCTCAAAAATTTCAAGAGAAGAGGTTGTTTTGATGCCCAGATATCCTCAAATTGATCATTTCGACATCAATATGCATGGACTTGAGAAAAAAATGGATTTCAAGTTTGGGAAATAGTGCATCTTGTAAAATATTTTTGGACCATTAATTTTTAAGTTATTCAAGTTTTCATAGATTTGCTCGATCTATACTATTTTTTAACCTTTAAACTTTATAATTAAAGATGAAAATATATAGTTAAAGATTTCCGGTATTGAAACCACATTTCTTGGCATTTTTTGAAGGTGGGCTCTAATTTGATTGTTTAAAGCCTTGACTATATACAAACTGTACCCATCATTATAGCAACCTGTTGGAGATTTGAATACCTGAAATCTCAATGTAATCGATCACCGAATATCACACACTCAATACCAAATATGTAAAATCGATAATCTAATAATAAGCTCAAGGATCGTATGCAACAATTTTAAAAAAATAAATTAGATATGAAAAATATGGTCATGAGAGAAAATTAGAGAGACAAACCACAATACGAATTTAACGTGATTCACCTCGTAGGGTTATGTCCACGGGTAAGCCGGCAACTATTCCACTATCAAAAGAGAAATGTACAAGGGGATGATACAATGTTACCTCAAAAGAAAAAATTGGTGAAAAATATCACCAAGAATACATTCTTGTGATTACCTAAAAAATCATGATTTACCTCGCTTCACTTCAGATGATCCAAGAATATAAGCAATACATGCTCATACAATTTTTCCCAAAAATAGGACAATAAATCTTTTTTCACCTCCTTCCCTTTCTCAACATAACCTTAGGAAGCCCTAGCCCCTTTTCAAAAGAGAGAAGAGTTCTAACTAAGAAGAATCGTGTCTCCCAAAAGCATCCATGTTTTTACTTTTATATAAGCCACCTAATTGTAGTAGCAAAAAACCCTAAAACAAATGCACAAAATGCAAAACACATCCAAAGGTGATTTTTCTATCACCATTCAACAATCTCCACCTTGATAAAACATCACCTACTTACTTTGCCGATAATCCCCTTTTTACTTCTTCATGAAGCCTAGAGAAGTTATGCTTCATTCCAACTTCTCTATCGGAAGTATATTTGTCACATTTTCTTTTGTTCCAACTTTCACCAAGCGAACCAAACTATCTTCAACAACTTGTCGAATATAATGGTATCGGATTAGTATGTGCTTCGTCCTCTTGTGATAAACGACATTCTTGGCCAAATTGATGACACTCATATTATCATAAAATATTTTTATGGGCTTAGGCTTGATACCCGATTCTCTCATAACACCTCGAAGCCAAATCGCTTTTTTGCTTGCTTTGTTTGCTGCCATGTATTCCACCCCGGTAGTAGACAATGCCACCGTTGATTGAAGCATAGACGTCCAACTTACCAGCCCGAGATCTTTCATTTCAAAACTCTTGCTCAAAGATGCCTTGAGCTCATCAATAGCCTTATCCTTGCATGCCAAAAGCATATCATCAATGCACAAAACTAAGATTACATAAGAACTATTACAAAAAAACCTCATATAAACACAATGTTCATAATCACTTTTATGATATCTAAGACCAATCATGAACATGTCAAAAGTCTTGTACCATTGTCTTGATGCTTCTTTGGGTCTATATATGAATTTCTTTAACTTGCACACTAGCCTCTCTTTTCATTTTTCAAGAAATCCTTCTGGCAGTTGCATATACACCTCCTCTTCAAGTCCACCATGTAAAAAAATCGTTTTTACATCCATTTGTTCAAGTTTTAAATTATGTAATGTAACAAGCCCAAGCACCAACGTTATAAAGTCTAACATGACAACTGGTGCAAAAATGTTAAGAAAGTCGACACCTTCTTTGTGTGCAAATCCCTTCGCAACTAGCCTTGTCCCCATACCTTTCCAAACTTCCATCAATCCTTTTTTTTATTTTGAACATCCACTTGCAACCAATCGTTTTTCTGCCTTTGGGCAGTTCTACCAAGTCTCAAGTCTTGTTCTTTCGAAGAGCCAATATTTCATCTTCCATGGCCTTCTTTCAAGATATGGAATCATCCCCTTCCATAGCTTCTTGGTAAGTGCTTGGTTCTTCAT